CTCTTTCACTTGCAAGATGTGACGCCTCAAATTTTTGGAACATCAAGGGAAATTAAATAAACAAAATGACTCAATAAATAAAAAAGTTGACATCTTAATAGGACATTCCAACTCTCGTACATAACCAAAGGCTCAAACAACATTAAATAAAAACTTAAAATTATCCAAATACAATATCAAATGAAATTATAAAGTCCTTAATAGCTAATACATAAGATAATAAAAGTTATTCGACTATAGTCATGGTTTCAAGCCAACCAAGGTTCTACGTTTGCGTCAACTCCATTTTAGCTTCAATTATTTCCTCGCCAAAACCTGACATAAAACGCTAGGGCAACAAAACATATGCCATGAGTTTCACAACACAGTAAGAAAACACAACAAACCTACCTTTCTTTTTTAAGAGAAAAATAACGAGATTATAAGCATGAGATAACAATATAATTGTAAATATAAATTATAACCATTAAAATAATTTCAATAATTTTAATAAATTAGGTGATGCTCAAAATCTCATTAAAGAGATTTAATTTACCAACCACTAAGCCATGTCCATGGTTAATTTGAAACCCCCCATTGGTCAAATATTCAAGTGTTACCAATCGTAACTACCAGGGATGCCCACGTCCGGAGTTATATACCCAAGTAGTGGCATCCATGGTCTGCCCCAAGGAAACAGTCTACCAAGAGTATATAACCTCCTTGTGTGCCATTTCCACATCCACTCTTATTCCAAAACTGAATACCGAAAATGGTTCAAATAAGTCCTGTGCCATCTTAGGGTTTCACGATACAATTTATGTAAGAATTCTCAAAACCAGGGCTCACCCTGAACAACCGGTATTAACCATCAACCCTTAATTTCGTACACTCTTTAAAACCAGGACTCACCCTGAACAACTGGTATTAACTGTCAACTGGTATTAACTGTCAACTATTAATTTTGTACACTTTGTTTACCATTTTAATTAATTTTCATACTAATCACTAATAATTAAAAATTAGATCACAATCGATATTATACTATTTCAATACAATATTTAACAGAAACTATCAACAAATGTGTTCTACAACAATCCATCAGTGTGTATAAAATGTTGTGAACAGTTTAATCAAGCCATGGTGTGAGATAATAATTTTAAATACTAAAATAAATCACAACACACACGTACATGGACTGTTAATTTACAAGATTCAATTAAATAGACTAGCACAATACGGACATTTAGTCCTAATAAATAATTGAAATAGTAATCTTGATTCTTTATCATTCTGCCCAGAATTTTCAAAACATAATTTTTGTAGTTGAAATTATAAATAAATTATTTATACAACTTTAAAATTCATGTAACTATATGGGATATTCAAAAAACATGTTATGGTCATTTCCATAAATAATTTCCCAAAACAATGTTATAAATAATTCTGTAAAATTTCAAGAAAGTTTATGACACAGATTCGTCACATTTTCTTAAAATAATTCCACACTTAAATTTATAAATAAATTCCATAATCTAAAAATTTATTATGAAACTAGACTTCCCAAATTTCATGTTTTATTTAGAAAATACCAAATTTGGTTTAATATAACATTTTTAATGAATTTTCAAATATACAGTAAAATCTATCTACAATTTCATATTTAATTAAAATTTCGTATAAGTTCATACAAAACTAGAATAATTGTTACACAAATTCCTGGATGAACTAGACATTATTCGTAACAACTTTGTAAAAGAAATCATCTCAAAAGTTTGAGCATAAAAGTGTCTAAAAATTCGTACAAGTTTCTGACAGATTTAAGGTCATATAATCAAACTAAATAAAATCTTTAATCATCTCTTTCATGGCACAAACTACACATGCAAGTCTAATTCCAAATTTATACCATGATTTTAAGGCTATTAATATAAAAATAACCTTCAAATATTTAATATATAAATCACAAATTTACATACAACTATAAACAAATTTTTATCTAAATTTTTAGCTATTTTAACATATGAACGCAAATCTTGAAAATTTAACAATTAAAAAGAATAAGAGGGTTGAGAGGATTTTCTTACTATGTTAGGTTGCTATCGATTTATCGTTCTATTTTGATTTATTTCTAATTGTAAGATATGACGGTCCTGGCTTCATGATCTTCTTGCTGAAATTTCACATCAATCGGACACGACCTTATCATTGATCTTCCATTTGATTCTCTTAGAACTTTCAGTTGTCAATCATCATCTTAGACTCAGAATTTGCAAGATCTAACCCCAAAAATGGATTCTACACGTCGAAAAACCTTAGGGTGGTCATCCCCGAAGTCATAGAACCACTCGATTAACCCAAATGTACCAAGATGCGCCATAACACCATGAGTCGAGAAACGCTGGGTAAAATTCAGATCATCTTCTCCTAACAGCCGCAACATGCCCGAACAGAAAGACCCAGAAATTTAGTTTCAAAATCCTCCAGTTCAAATACTTGTATCTTCTTCGTCGTAACTCTGTTTTGCCTTATCTTTACATTATTGGATTTACCTCACAGCCTAATTTTTTTGCTCCTTTCATCACACACCTCGTTCTGTCTTTTTTTGCATGCTATTAGATCTATAAATTTGACTAAAAATAAGATTTTTCCTCTCATCTCCGACTTTTCTTCAAACCATCTTTCGGACTCTATAACTTTCTTGATTCTTAATAGTTTTACTATATTCTTTCGCCAATCTCTTCAACTTACTTCGTACTTCATCTTACATGACCTAGTTTTCTCACTTCTTCCTGGAATGGATGGTTTTGGCATACCAAAAGTAACCCAAAAACCAACTTTTAAAATTCAAAATAAACTTCTCTAACTTTGTTTATTTCTCCTCCATCTTCCCTTTTCTTCTCTTTCTTCACTTACAACACGTTGTGAATGGTGGTTCTAGATGATAATGGAATTAGATGATGGTGGTGGTGGCGGTTCGACAGTGCGACGGTGGTGGAGAAGTTCGTGGGTTGGTGGTTCGGGTGGTGATAGTATGGGTTAAGGCCGTGGCTATGGAGGTCGAGAGGAGGAGAAAGAATAGAGATAAACAAGGAGAAAAAGAGTTTTGAGAATGAGAGGTGGGGAGAAAGAGAGAGAATCGAGAGAGAGAAAGATGAAACAGAGAGAGAGAGAGAGAGAGAGAGAGAGAGAGAGATGAAACTGGAAGAGAAGCAAAAGATGAAGATATGTGAGGAAAAGTTAGACTCAATTTATGGGAAAAATGAGGAAGAGTGAAAGAAGATTAAAAAAAAATGCAAAGAAATTTTTAAAAAAAGGAAATTGAACACCTAGTGGTATGACATCTGGTCCACCACATTTTGTTTTGGTACAGACAATGATAACTGAGAGAGGGGTGCACATGGGAGGCAAGAAAACATAGGGAGCAAACCCAAAGTTTTTGATTAGGTTTTACTACATAAAATGTTACATTTTAGTATAATTTGGTTCGAAAAAAAAAAAATACAGATAAAAATATAATAAAAACATCATAAGGTTCAGAAATTAATATTGAATAATAATATAAAGTCAAAAATATTTTATTTTATTTTATTTTGAATAAATTTTTAGTATAAAAATATATAGACTATTAAATTCAAAATATTGTGAATCATTATAAAAACAATTTAAAACATATATTATATTTATCATATAAAAATACAGGGTTTTACATAAGACTTTGGAACATAGTTCCCTAAACAAACAAGATAACTCAATTAGCAGTGAAGCGACTTTTTTTTGGCAATGCTCTTCGTAATGCTATAGGAAGAAGTTGCTGCATCAAAATATAACCATCATGACTTTTCAAACCTATAATCTTACGTTGTCTAAGTTGGATACAACGTGAAATATTTGAAGCATAACCTTCTAGCATTTTTATCCCTTTCAAAACTTTCAAGAATTAATCTTTCTCTTTTAAAATCATTGAGAAGCAAATTGGAGGCAAATATGACTTATTGGGTGAAGTTCACATCTTATATCCATCTCTTGTAAGTCAAGATGTGCCTTCAAGTTAGCATTGGTCTTCCCATCTAAATTCAACAATGTTCTATACATATTATCAATCACATTTTTCTCTATATGCATTACATCAAGATTGTGACACAATATGTGATTTACTCAATACAATAATGTCAACAATATACTTATTTTCCTCCATGGTTGTATCCCATCATCATCAGCTTATTTCTTTTTCTTTATTTTTTCTTTTTTTTTCTTTTTTCTCTGTTTTTTTTTTCTTTTTGTTTTTTTCATTTTCCTTTGTCTTCCCAAATTTGTAATCAAGGTCTTCTGTTTGCATCATGATCTCAAAGCAAGATAACATATTGGGAGTTGGTTCTATTTCTTGTTTGCCATCAAATGATGCTCTATCTTTACGAAAATAATGATCTTTATCCAAGAAATGCCTATGGCCCATAAAACAATATTTTCTTTCATGTTTTAACCATCGAGAATGAGTCTCATAATTACAAGAAGGACATGCAAGAGCACCATTGGTATTCCAACCAGACAAATCACCATATGTAAGAAAGTCATTTATAGTCAACATTAGAGTTGCACACATTTGAAAGTTCTCTTTGGAATAGATATCACAAGTTTGTACTTCAACATCCCATAATTCCTTCAATTCTTTAACTAAAGGCTGCATATACACATCTATGTCATTCGAAGGGGAGCTCGGACTAGGAATATGCAATGATAAGATGAAAGGAGATTTTTTCATCCACATCCATGGAGGCAAATTATATGGGACCAATATGACCGGCCATTTACTAGTATTCATATTATCATAAGTATTAAATCCTTATGTTGCTAACCATAACTTGACATTGCAGGAGTCAAAGGAAAAATCTACATATTGAGAGTTAAATGTTTTCTAAGGCATGGAATCAGCAAGATGCCTCATTATGCCATCATTTGTACGAGCTTTAGCATGCCATTTCATTGAAGCAACCGTTTTGGAAGACATTAACAACCTTTGCAATCGAGGCTTTAAGGGAAACAACCGTAAAACCTTTGCAGCCTTTTTCTTTCTCTTTTTAGATGAAGTACTCGTATTATGCTCCAAATCATCCCCATTTACCTTGAAGCACCATAATGACACACTTCATTATTTGCATGTTCCTTCCAAAATAACATAAAATCATTAGGACAAACGTGAATCTTTTCATAATCAAGACCTAAATCCTTAATAATCTTCTTGACATCATAATAGTCTTTTAATAAATTTGCATATGAAGGAAGCATATCTTTCAAAATTTTGAAGCAACATTGTGAATGAGTGATTGCTCCATCCACTAAGACATTTCAAGTGATACAGATGTACAATGGTTGACAACTTGCTAAAATTCTTACACCCTTCATACAAAGGCTTCTTATCATCTTTGAGTAAGTCGTAAAATTTGTGTGCATCTTCATTAGGATCTTCTTGAGGTCGTTGGGCACTTGAGCCTTGATTAGATGGTTTTGGTAAATTACTTTCTTCTCCATATTCATCCATATTTGGGGTGTGCATGGGAAACACATTCTGCAACATGTAACGTATATCACCATAATTAGGTCGTATTTCTTGACCATGGCTTTGACTAGTCTAGTAAAAGTTGTTGCAGACATAGTTTCCCTGTGATGATACCAACAATTATAACTCGAACAAATTCCATAAGATACCAAGTGATCATGTATAACTTCTAGGATCGACATGTATGAATTCACACATCTCATACATGGACATGGAATTGTTTTATCATTAGATACATTGCGAGAAACAAACTCCAAAAATTCTTTAATACCTTGCACATAATCTCTTGACAATCTACTCTTCTTCATCCAACTCTTATCCATTGATTTATAATTAACTAAACTAAAGTACCATGAAACAAAATAAAAAAGTAAAATATATTATATAAAGAGTTGTCTATACTAACATAAAAAACCACTATACAATTTAGTGTTGGTACACATAATGGAATTATTTTGATATGACTTTCCTTGTATATCTTTTCCTGAAATTGAACTATTTTATATTGATATATTTCATTTTTTTAATTGTTTTCTTGGATTTTATTTTCACAATTTATGTAGCATTTTAATTTTTATGAGCTATGATTTTTACTCTCTTTCACATGCACATGCACATGCAAATGCAATTACATAGTGAAGGTTTGGTTGTTGGTGGTTAAGACAAATCTCTAGTGTAATACATTTTATGGCCTAAACTCCATGGTTAAACTCAAGTATAACATAATAGATAAGAAAAATCTTTAGTATAATGTACTATTTTTTGGGTTTGTCCCAATGATTATGAAGGTTTGGTTGTTTGGTGGTTTGAGATTGGTATTAATGATATGAAGATATGTGTTTAGGTAATTGCTTTCTGGTTGCTAAACTAATTAAAATGGTGGAATGTTTCAAAGTTTTATGTTGATGATAAATCTTCTTTAATTGTGTCTTTAGATTCAAAAAAAAAAAAAAAGGGCATACATAAATGTTGAATGTCCTCTAATTAGATTATTAGGCCAACAAAACATTACAAGTGTACTATGCATTAAATTCATGGACAACAATTTTCTCAAAAAGAAAAAAAGAAAGAAAAAAGAAAAAGAAAAAGAGAAGAAGTAGAAAAACATAACAAAACAATAAACAAAAAGATAGGCACTATTACTCCATTGTGGCATTTTATCAAATACTTAGAAAACACATAATGATTTCTCATTGCTATTCATAATTAGAAGTATGAGATTTCATTGTGTGTTGCATAAACAACAATTCATTCACTTCACTAATTATATTAGTTAAAATATGAATATCATAATCACAATACAGAACATGTTAATCAATCTATTTTATAAATTATTTTCCCAAATCAAAATTATTCAATATGTTCATGGAATCCTTCAAAGAAAAGAAAATTGAATGAAGAAAGAAAGAATTAAATCACAAATAAAGTCATTCTCAACAAGTCTTAGGCAGTGCATTGGTCAAGGAAAGTGAAATGGTGTTGAGGGCTGTAATAGCACTTCTAATGCTGATGTATGAAATTGTGTGGGCTGAGTATTGTTTTGTGTTTTGTTCTTTCTTGAGTTGAGGTGTTCTCTAATCACATTATTAGGCCTGCAAAAGATTACAAGGGTACAAGCACTAAACTCATGGACAACAATTAAAAACAAACAAAAAAAACAGACAAAAAAACAAAAACAAAAAAAAAAAAAAAAAAAAAAACAAAACTCTACTGTGGCATTTTATCAAACACCTAGCAGACACAATATGATTCCTCATTGTTATTCATTTATTGAAGCATGAGACTTTACGATGTGTAGCATCAACAACAATTCATTCACTTCACTGATTATATTGGTTAAAATATAAATATCATAATCAAAATATAGAACATGCTAATCATTCTATTTCCTAAGTTTCTTTTCCCCAAATTAAAATCATTCAAGTTGTTCATGGAACCCCTTAAAGTAGAAAAGTTTTGGAGATGTTAGAAGCAATGAATGGAATGGCTTTAATCTCATTTTAACAATGAATTCCATTGACACAAACAAGTTCAAAGACAGAGTGAAGGTAGATTAAGGGAAACCAAGAGACTGCAAGAGAGAGAGAGAGAGAGAGAGAGAGAGAGAGAGAGAGAGGGGTGCAATAAGAGAAACAGAAATAGAGAGCAAACTGACCTTGAATTCATAGTGGTGTTGTAGAGTGATGTCATCGATACACCCTCCGACTTTTCTTCAAACCATCTTTCGGACTCTATAACTTTCTTGATTCTTAATGGTTTTACTATATTCTTTCGCCAATCTCTTCAACTTACTTCGTACTTCATCTTACATGACCTAGTTTTCTCACTTCTTCCTGGAATGGATGGTTTTGGCATACCAAAAGTAACCCAAAAACCAACTTTTAAAATTCAAAATAAACTTCTCTAACTTTGTTTCTTTCTCCTCCATCTTCCCTCTTCTTCTCTTTCTTCACTTACAACACGTTGTGAATGGTGGTTCTAGATGATAATGGAATTAGATGATGGTGGTGGTGGCGGTTCGACAGTGCGACGGTGGTGGAGAAGTTCGTGGGTTGGTGGTTCGGGTGGTGATAGTATGGGTTAAGGCCGTGGCTATGGAGGTCGAGAGGAGGAGAAAGAATAGAGATAAACAAGGAGAAAAAGAGTTTTGAGAATGAGAGGTGGGGAGAAAGAGAGAGAATCGAGAGAGAGAAAGATGAAATAGAGAGAGAGAGAGAGAGAGAGAGAGAGAGAGATGAAACTGGAAGAGAAGCAAAAGATGAAGATATGTGAGGAAAAGTTAGACTTAATTTATGGGAAAAATGAGGAGGAGTGAAAGAAGATTAAAAAAAAATGCAAAGAAATTTTTAGAAAAAGGAAATTGAACACCTAGTGGTATGACATCTGGTGCACCACATTTTGTTTTGGTACAGACAATGATAACTGAGAGAGGGGTGCACGTGGGAGGCAAGAAAACATAGGGAGCAAACCCAAAGTTTTTGATTAGGTTTTACTACATAAAATGTTACATTTCAGTATAATTTGGTTCGGAAAAAAAATACAGATAAAAATATAATAAAAATATCATAAGGTTCAGAAATTAATATTGAATAATAATATAAAGTCAAAAATATTTTATTTTATTTTATTTTATTTTGAATAAATTTTCAGCATAAAAATATATAGACTATTAAATTCAAAATATTGTGAATCATTATAAAAACAATTTAAAACATATATTATATTTATCATATAAAAATACAGGGTCTCACATAAGACTTTGGAACATAGTTCCCTAAACAAACAAGATAACTCAATTAGCAGTGAAGCGACTTTTTTTTGGCAATGCTCTTCGTAATGCTATAGGAAGAAGTTGCTGCATCAAAATATAACCATCATGACTTTTCAAACCTATAATCTTACGTTGTCTAAGTTGGATACAACGTGAAATATTTGAAGCATAACCTTCTAGCATTTTTATCCCTTTCAAAACTTTCAAGAATTAATCTTCCTCTTTTAAAATCATTGAGAAGCAAATTGGAGGCAAATATGACTTATTGGGTGAAGTTCACATCTTATATCCATCTCTTGTAAGTCAAGATGTGCCTTCAAGTTAGCATTGGTCTTCCCATCTAAATTCAACAATGTTCTATACATATTATCAATCACATTTTTCTCTATATGCATTACATCAAGATTGTGACACAATATGTGATTTACTCAATACAATAATGTCAACAATATACTTATTTTCCTCCATGGTTGTATCCCATCATCATCAGCTTATTTCTTTTTCTTTATTTTTTCTTTTTTTTTCTTTTTTCTCTGTTTTTTTTTTCTTTTTGTTTTTTTCATTTTCCTTTGTCTTCCCAAATTTGTAATCAAGGTCTTCTGTTTGCATCATGATCTCAAAGCAAGATAACATATTGGGAGTTGGTTCTATTTCTTGTTTGCCATCAAATGATGCTCTATCTTTACGAAAATAATGATCTTTATCCAAGAAATGCCTATGGCCCATAAAACAATATTTTCTTTCATGTTTTAACCATCGAGAATGAGTCTCATAATTACAAGAAGGACATGCAAGAGCACCATTGGTATTCCAACCAGACAAATCACCATATGTAAGAAAGTCATTTATAGTCAACATTAGAGTTGCACACATTTGAAAGTTCTCTTTGGAATAGATATCACAAGTTTGTACTTCAACATCCCATAATTCCTTCAATTCTTTAACTAAAGGCTGCATATACACATCTATGTCATTCGAAGGGGAGCTCGGACTAGGAATATGCAATGATAAGATGAAAGGAGATTTTTTCATCCACATCCATGGAGGCAAATTATATGGGACCAATATGACCGGCCATTTACTAGTATTCATATTATCATAAGTATTAAATCCTTATGTTGCTAACCATAACTTGACATTGCAGGAGTCAAAGGAAAAATCTACATATTGAGAGTTAAATGTTTTCTAACGCATGGAATCAGCAAGATGCCTCATTATGCCATTATTTGTACGAGCTTTAGCATGCCATTTCATTAAAGCAACTGTTTTTTAAGACATTAACAACCTTTGCAATCGAGGCTTTAAGGGAAACAACCGTAAAACCTTTGCAGCCTTTTTCTTTCTCTTTTTAGATGAAGTACTCGTATTATGCTCCAAATCATCCCCATTTACCTTGAAGCACCATAATGACACACTTCATTATTTGCATGTTCCTTCCAAAATAACATAAAATCATTAGGACAAACGTGAATCTTTTCATAATCAAGACCTAAATCCTTAATAATCTTCTTGACATCATAATAGTCTTTTAATAAATTTGCATATGAAGGAAGCATATCTTTCAAAATTTTGAAGCAACATTGTGAATGAGTGATTGCTCCATCCACTAAGACATTTCAAGTGATACAGATGTACAATGGTTGACAACTTGCTAAAATTCTTACACCCTTCATACAAAGGCTTCTTATCATCTTTGAGTAAGTCGTAAAATTTGTGTGCATCTTCATTAGGATCTTCTTGAGGTCGTTGGGCACTTGAGCCTTGATTAGATGGTTTTGGTAAATTACTTTCTTCTCCATATTCATCCATATTTGGGGTGTGCATGGGAAACACATTCTGCAACATGTAACGTATATCACCATAATTAGGTCGTATTTCTTGACCATGGCTATGACTAGTTCTAGTCAAAGTTGTTGCAGACATAGTTTCCCTGTGATGATACCAACAATTATAACTCGAACTAATTCCATAAGATACCAAGTGATCATGTATAACTTCTAGGATCGACATGTATGAATTCACACATCTCATACATGGACATGGAATTGTTTTATCATTAGATACATTGCGAGAAACAAACTCCAAAAATTCTTTAATACCTTGCACATAATCACTTGACAATCTACTCTTCTTCATCCAACTCTTATCCATTGATTTATAATTAACTAAACTAAAGTACCATGAAACAAAATAAAAAAGTAAAATATATTATATAAAGAGTTATCTATACTAACATAAAAAAGCACTATACAATTTAGTGTTGGTACACATAATGGAATTATTTTGATATGACTTTCCTTGTATATCTTTTCCTAAAATTGAACTATTTTATATTGATATATTTCATTTTTTTAATTGTTTTCTTGGATTTTATTTTCACAATTTATGTAGCATTTTAATTTTTATGAGGTATGATTTTTACTCTCTTTCACATGCACATGCACATGCAAATGCAATTACATAGTGAAGGTTTGGTTGTTGGTGGTTAAGACAAATCTCTAGTGTAATACATTTTATGGCCTAAACTCCATGGTTAAACTCAAGTATAACATAATAGATAAGAAAAATCTTTAGTATAATGTACTAGTTTTTGGGTTTGTCCCAATGATTATGAAGGTTCGGTTGTTTGGTGGTTTGAGATTGGTATTAATGATATGAAGATATGTGTTTAGGTAATTGCTTTCTGGTTGCTAAACTAATTAAAATGGTGGAATGTTTCAAAGTTTTATGTTGATGATAAATCTTCTTTAATTGTGTCTTTAGATTCAAAAAAAAAAAAAAAGGGCATACATAAATGTTGAATGTCCTCTAATTAGATTATTAGGCCAACAAAACATTACAAGTGTACTATGCATTAAATTCATGGACAACAATTTTCTCAAAAAGAAAAAAAGAAAGAAAAAAGAAAAAGAAAAAGAGAAGAAGTAGAAAAACATAACAAAACAATAAACGCTAAACTAATTAAAAGGGTGGAATATTTCAAAGTTTTTATGTAGATGACAACTCTTCTTTAATTTTGTCTTTAGATTCAACAAAAAAAAAGGGTATACATAAATGTTGAATTTCCTCTAATTAGATTATTAGGCCAACAAAACATTACAAGTGTACTACGCATTAAATTCATGGACAACAATTTTCTCAAAAAGAAAAAAAGAAAGAAAAAAGAAAAAGAAAAAAAGAAGAAGTATAAAAGCATAACAAAACAATAAACAAAAAGATAGGCACTATTACTCCATTGTGGCATTTTATCAAATACTTAGAAAACACATAATGATTTCTCATTGCTATTCATAATTAGAAGTATGAGATTTCATTGTGTGTTGCATAAACAACAATTCATTCACTTCACTAATTATATTAGTTAAAATATGAATATCATAATCACAATACAAAACATGTTAATCAATCTATTTTATAAATTATTTTCCCAAATCAAAATCATTCAATATGTTCATGGAATCCTTCAAAGAAAAGAAAATTGAATGAAGAAAGAAAGAATTAAATCACAAATAAAGTCATTCTCAACAAGTCTTAGGCAGTGCATTGGTCAAGGAAAGTGAAATGGTGTTGAGGGCTGTAATAGCACTTCTAATGCTGATGTATGAAATTGTGTGGGCTGAGTATTGTTTTGTGTTTTGTTCTTTCTTGAGTTGAGGTGTTCTCTAATCACATCATTAGGCCTGCAAAAGATTACAAGGGTACAAGCACTAAACTCATGGACAACAATTAAAAACAAACAAAAAAAACAGACAAAAAAACAAAAACAAAAAAAAAAAAAAAAAAAAAAACAAAACTCAAAAAAAAAAAAAAAAAAAAAAAAAAAAAACAAAACAAAACTCTACTGTGGCATTTTATCAAACACCTAGCAGACACAATATGATTCCTCATTGTTATTCATTTATTGAAGCATGAGACTTTACGATGTGTAGCATCAACAACAATTCATTCACTTCACTGATTATATTGGTTAAAATATAAATATCATAATCAAAATATAGAACATGCTAATCATTCTATTTCCTAAGTTTCTTTTCCCCAAATTAAAATCATTCAAGTTGTTCATGGAACCCCTTAAAGTAGAAAAGTTTTGGAGATGTTAGAAGCAATGAATGGAATGGCTTTAATCTCATTTTAACAATGAATTCCATTGACACAAACAAGTTCAAAGACAGAGTGAAGGTAGATTAAGGGAAACCAAGAGACTGCAAGAGAGAGAGAGAGAGAGAGAGAGAGAGAGAGAGAGAGAGGGGTGCAATAAGAGAAACAGAAATAGAGAGCAAACTGACCTTGAATTCATAGTGGTGTTGTAGAGTGATGTCATCGATACACCGGTGGAGAATGAACGGCGAAATCAGGAAGGGTGATGATAGCTTCACTAAACAAGGAGTTGAATGTGAAACAAGTATAGATACACTAGGGCAGATTTGTAATCAAGGAGAGGAACGATTTTTCTGGGATCAAAAAATTTTGATATGCTTATTCTTGTAAGCGGTAAGTCAGAAATTATTTTTAGTGAGTGGGCCTTAATTTTGAAGGTCTATTGTAGCAGCTGGAGTACAAATGCAGCCCAAAAAAAAAAATTATAAAGCAGCAACCTAAGGAACAAATGTGACTAGGGACCTTACTTTTAGCAGCGGTCAACGACCATCACAATATCCAATTTATAGCAGCATTTTTGGTGGCCGCTACAATAAAAAATGCTGGTAAAACTTGATTTTTCTTGTAGTGAAAGCCCTAAAAATTCTTATGAATTGTGCGAGAGTAAATATCGCACTAATAAGAATCGGAACTTTCTGATCAACTAGGTCAATCCAAGACTTGTAATTTGCAAGACAAAGAGCACCATAAATGTCGCTCGGCTAGGTTTTGGTTGAAAAATTCCATAATGATAAAGTTATATATGTGCAAAGGATAGTATAAAAGCAAAGGAATGCAGATGTTATTAAAGATTAAATGTCATCCAAAGAAGACGAGAGGGCTACCGTTTAGTGTTCATATTCTTTGCTCTCCAAAGTGCACAAGAAGTAATTGCCATATATGCGCCCTGTAACAACCCTAGCCTATGATTAACTGCTAAACCAAGATTAAAGATGCCTAATAAGTAATTAAGGTGAAATTATGAATTAGTTGCATATGTGTTGTGTTATTTGTGTTTATATCTGTTTCTCGTAGGAATATCTGTTCATGTTTCTGTTTTGTTCTGTGAATTAAAGGCCTTATTGGCATCTAAACATGAAATTAACTTGATTCATGTGCTATTTGGGATTTTTAGGAATTTAAGGTAGGTTCAATTGAAATTCAATTCGGAACAAATTATCTAGAATAAATTAATGGTCATTGCTTAGACTAATTAAAGTTTAATTAGCCAACTCTTAATCAAGCCTATATAAGGCTTACGTGACTTAAGACATTCAAATTACACTCTCATTCCCTCATTCTTGAGCCCCTAAATGTGTGTGTGTGTGTAAGAGAGAGAGAGAGAGAGAGATAGAGAGAGACAGAGAGAGACAGAGACAGAGACAGAGACAGAGAAAGGGAGAATAGAAGTCAAACAAAGGAATTTCTAGAGAATTCAAGGAAATTGGCTTGAAACCTTAGTGAATTCACCATCTAGAGCTTAATTGAGAAGTTGAGGTAAGGATTTAACCCTTAGATTGGCTAATTATGATGTGTAGACCTTGAATTCAAGAGAAGTTAGGTGAATAATGCAAGAATTGAGCTAGTGAGATAGGAATGAAGAATATATCATGCACGCATGCACATTTTCTTCCTTTTTGAACTTAATTATTAAGAATTCTAACATGCATGCGCCAAGTCTACCATAGTTTTGAGAAGACATCATGTTTTCCATCAATTTGCCTTCTTTGATCATGATTTGGAAGCTTTGAACTCACTTCATTGCATATATGTTACGTTTTAAAAGTTTTGAGTTTGAATTGGCACAATTGACATGCTTTTGAACCTTGATTTTGCAAAATGATTTTGAATTCCCAATGTTTTCCAAGTTCACACATGTTTCCTTAAGTTTTTGGCCCCAAAGGATGAGTTTTGATGTGTTGAATTTGAGTTTTGAGCTTGGAAGAGCAATCTGGAAATTCTAGAATTTTGTCTCTTCGCTCGAGCGACAGAACCTGCGCTTGAGCGACCACTCTTTGTTTTACACTCTCGCTCAAGCGACCAAAAGTTGGCTAGAGCATACAATGCATGCTCCCAGAAGTTTACCATTTTTGTAGACCGCTTAAGCGACAAGAGTTGCGCTCGAGTGAGGACCACAGTCTCACGCTCGAGCGACCGTCGAGCAAAAAAATCACATAACCAATACTTTTGCAAAGTTTACAGATCGTTTGAACGAAGGAAGTTTCGCTTGAGCAACCATTCATATGTTTGGACGTCTGCTCGAGCGAAAAAAGTTGCATTCGAGCGAGGCCCCTGTTTTAAGCATATTTGCCCAAGTGTTTTCAAGTGCATTTTAGCATCCTCATTGCATCCTAGGCATTCCTAGGCCAATATTAAGACATGATAATGAGGATAAGACTTAGAGAACAGACGAATAATGAAATGAAATAAGTTAAGTACGATCCGAACGTGTGCTTCAATATGTGTATCTATTATGTTTGTGTAGGTTACACGCCGTAAGCTGTTGATCCATTGGTTACCATCAAGATATCTGTCCAACCATCTGTGAGTAATAACTCTGTAAAGTTATGTTTGATATTAATTATTTTCTAATAATATGAAATGAACAACTTTCTGAAATGGTATGCTTTGTATGAACGAATGATTGTCCAATTTTTTTTTGAAGTATAATTGTGGTATCCATAGCAGAGGCCCTCGCCCGGGAGCATAATACTGTGGCTTATGGTCATGACGCCCTCGCCCGGGGGAATAATACCGCAGCATAGGCCCTCACCCGGGGAAATAATACCATGACACAGGCCCTCACCCAGGGGAAATAATACCGTGGCCTACGTATGTGATGAGACACCTGGTACTAGAGGTTCCATTATAAAACTTGATATGCTTGACCAATCATGATATGTTAATGCTAATGGATATACCATACATGATTCGAGTACGATTATGAACATGACTCTGTTTGGTTATGACAATGCTTATCTCTCTGATTGATATGTTACAAAGTTGGACGTCATTCATTAAAATCTTTACTCTATTATTATTCACTAGGCTTCGTTCACTATTTATTATATGTATGTAGGTAACCAGGCTCAGAGTTGATGACCTCGAGTCTCAGTTGTGTCAGCCAGCTGTTGTGCCTCCCTTGGAGGTTCCCTTTTGTGATGCACATGTTGAGACCTTTCTTTCATTTGGAATATGAACAAGTTTTCTATTTATGTATATATATTGGGCTAAGCTCCTTTCTGTTATATCTGTTATATGACATGGATTTCTGTATTGTGATGTCATACCTATGTATATAAAGTTTTTATAATTTCTATCCCATGTACGTCTACACAGCTCAATAGACTATGTATAATTTATATTTCCTTTCGCAGACCCTACATATGTGGTAATATGTTCAGAGGCGTTTGGTAATCCAAGGATTACTGGCTGGTCATGAGGCTAAACCTATCAGGGTGGGTTTGGGTTGTGACAGAGTGGTATCAAAGCACGTGTTATACTGCACACATAAGTCCATATGAGCTATAGGATGTTCTAGAAAAGAATTAGGGGCATTCCATTTGCATATGTGGATGTGTAAACTATTTGACTATACTCGAACTAACTTGAAATGATGTGAACACATATGAATCAAAATGAAATGAATTGAACTGGACTTGAATATAAAGGACGAGACTACTTGTCTATGTTTATTATTGTCATGTTTACCTGTAGTAATGGAAAATACAAGAAGTGATGGAACAACTAAATCTTCTGAGGCTCAGATGAGCCGAATGGGACAAATGCTTGCAGCTCTGACCGAAGTAATGATACAACAACAAAGACAACAACCTCAGCCGCTTCCGTCTCCTTCGGTCCAAGTTGAATCGGATAACAATGATATCATAAATCTAACTCAGAAGTTCATGAAGATGAAAACGCCGACTTTCTTAGGTGGTATTGAACCCTTAAAGGCAAAAACATGGTTGCTCGAAATGGAGAAACTGTTTGAAGTGTTTCCTTACTCCAAGACACAAAAAGTTCTTTTGGCCACCTATACTCTAAAAGATGAAGCTCGAAGATAGTGGTTGTTAATCCGAACTAGTAATAGGAACATGATGTAGACTCAATGAACGAGATCTTCTACAACAAGTACCTTCCTCAATACTTCCAGGAACAAAAGGTTTCTAAATTCCAAGAACTCAAGCAAGGCAACATGTCTGTAGCCGAATATGAGGCAAAATTCACGAAATTAGCTCAATTTGCTCCTCACATGGTAGATACAGACTATAAGAAGGCTTGAAAATTTGAGAGGGGATTAGATTTGGATGTGTTTGATCGAGTAAGCGTCCTGAAGTTGCCTACATATGTAGAAGTACTTGATAGAGCATTGATGGCAGAAGGCACTCTAGCAGCAAAAAACAAGTCAAAGCTCCAACAATTGAATGAAGGGGTAAAAGATTTGGATTCAATTTCAAGAAGGGTCGGTCATTTTCAAAGAAACAAAACACTGGAACTTCCAGTAGCTCTAGTCAAAGTAGTGGATCTATTCCAAATTGTCCTGATTGTGGAAGAAAGCATAGAAGAACATGTTACCGTGCATCCGGTGGCTGTTATCGATGTGGCAAACTTGGCCATGTAATGAAGGATTGTCCACTTGGGTTCGAAAGTGCCAATCCCTTCGCGGCAAGTTCCTGCCTCGGTAGCGAGGTAAAATACAAGAACTAATGCCAGAAGTAATACTGGAAATGAAACATTGAGGCAAGGGAGAGTATTCACACTGGTGCCAGGGGATGTACAGAACACCAAGGCTCTGGTATCAGGTATAATTTCCATCTGTGTCCAAAATGCATATGTCTTGATAGATTCTGGTTCTACACATTCATTTGTGTCGCATGTCTTTTCTCAGTAATTAACTAGATCCTTAGAATCCATAAATTATTTATTGTCTGTATCTATGCCATTTGGGGGTTCTGTGGTATGTGCTTATGTTTATCCAGCATATGATATTATGATTGGTGATGTGACATTGTATTTTGATTTATTGCCTTTGGAAATTGATCATTTTGACTGCATATTGGGTATGGACTGGTTAATGAAGTACTGTGCAACTATTGATTGTGTAAATAAAACTATTGTGTTTCGTCCACCCGATTTACCAGAGTTTGTGTTTGCTGGGAATGGAGTGGTTCCTCCCCCATATTTGATTTCTGCCATGAAAGCCGTTAAACTACTTAGGAAAGGATGTAGGGGTCATATGTGTTGTGTATTGATTGAGACTTCTGCTAGTCCTACTATAGAAACCATTCCTGTTGCTTGTGAATTTCCCGATGTGTTTCCAAATGAATTGCTTGGGGACTTAATTGATAGAGAAATTGAATTCACCATTGATGTAGTACCTGGAACGCAACCGATTTCTAAGACCCCTTATCGAATATCAAGCTCTAAATTGAAAGAATTAAATGTTCAACTCTAA